GTATAATTGGTTTTTTTAATGACCATATATAGGTTTTAATGACCAATTGAAATGACAATTTTTGATCGTCGATAATGTTGTGACGACCAGTCTTTGGGCACTAAATAAATGGTTTTAGTGGCGAGAAATAATTTTTTCGTCACTTTGATGATTTAGGGACCATCCAATAGTGTCGAACATGTGACGACTAGATAGTCGTCAATGTAATGGTTTTAGTGACGATTTAGGCATTTTAATGACCATATGCCTTGGTGATTAAATTGAGTTTTTTCATGTAGTTAATGTTCGAATATGCAATCAAAGAATCTATAGTTCTTTTGTGAAAAACGATCAAATTCGATCCTGCCAAGATTGTGGAAATTTGACTCATTAATTAAGCACTTGATTCTTTTCAAACTCGATAGATAAAATTGAATTTGCACTTAGAAATATGAACTCCTTTCATCTTGGAAAAGTAGTCTAACATTGTGGTTCTCTTTTCAAGGTTGAAACTTTTTTATCTCTTCTTGTTGTAGTGACATCTTTTGATCTCTCATTTTCTTTTAAAAGTAGTTTCTATAGTCTTCGTTGATTATGAAATGCTCAATTTGACATTGTTATTTTTGCGTTTAATTTCGTTTTCGTTATCCAAAAAAGTTGGCTATACGAAAGTTAAATTTCTGTAACAACATAACTAGATACTTAATTGACCCGGCCGAATGCCCGGGCGACGGTACTTATCATAATTGTGTATTCGTTATTAAAAATCTAACAAAAAATAAAGATTATATTTTAAAAAATACAATATTTGATGTTATTAATCTAGATGCTTAGTCCGAGGCAAATGCTGGGGCGTCCGTCAATTTAATTTTTGTTGAAAATTATGTAAAATGTACAATATCTTTTATTATAATATATAATATTGTTATAGAACTGAAAAACAACACCCGTTTATATCATATATAATGAAATTAGGAAGGATTATTGAAAATCTATAAAGTTAAATAAACAGAAGATTTGGTACAAAAAAAACCTAACATAAAGAGTGTAACCATAATATGCCTTTTTAAGTCCCAAATTGATTAAGGGCAACTTTAATACAATCTCAATGATGAGAAAAATAACTATCCTATTTCTTGAATATAAATACGGTGCCTCTTTGCTCTTCCGACTTTCCAACCCATGGGCATCTTCATTAGATAAGAAGAATGCATTTTCTGCTCTGAAGTTTATTCATGGACATTGGACAACCGAACACATACGATCTTTTGTAAGATTGATTTATGATTTACGCATTCTTCCATCTTTGCTAATAACTTTTTCTAATAAACTGTTATCATGACCAAATAGAGAATCTAAACATGCGGCAAAACAGATGAAATAAAGCAGAAAGTCTTTGCCAATAAAAACAACCCCGTCTAACAAAATGAATAAACTTATCATGAACAATTCATCCGACAGACTGCATCATCATTGTCACAAAGCAATCAAATAAAATTACTTTCTTCCTCTGTTCTTTCATATACTTGTCAGTTTAAGAATTTCAAACAAACTTACTCGGGCCACGCATCTAAATTGACCAAAAAGGTGGAAGCAAAACTGAGTCGTTACAACCATCAGAACGTACAACATAGACTATCTAATTAACACTGGATCTTTGGTACAAACTCCATCTATCTATAGATTCACTGGTCAAACTTTATCTCTATGTATCTCCATAAAAAACGGAAGAGAACGCAGAATATAAGTATAAAAACACCTCAAACACTAATCTATGTGTATTCTAACACACATCAGATATCACATTCCATAAACACTCCAAAAGAAAAAATAAAACTCAATCTTTACCTTTAAGAGGAGGATGAATGTATACGATATAATATTTTGATGTAATAATCTTTTTTTTTTGTAGTTGAAGCAAAACAAACCATTCTTATTAATTCAGCCCGTAGGGTTGCACATATATTTTGCTACTCTTTTTTCTTTGTTCTTTACGAATGCAAGAATCATCGTAGAATGAAACTTGAGAAAATGCAATTGTTGGTCAAACCAAAGCATTACATTCATCACAATATCTGAACCTAAATCATCAATGACGACATGTTCAGATAATAATAATACACCTGCCAAGGAAGAATTTTAGTTGACATTTGTATGTTGCAAAATACCAAAGGTATTTCAAGATCATCTTTTTTCAGGATATCTAACAAACTCAAATATTAACAGAAAGCAAAATCATAAAATTTGCAAAGAAAGAGCTCATATTTGGAACTTGAATGCTGACTGAATCAGGGATTTTCCTCCGAAGCAAAAAGGATCTCAACATTTTTCATAATCTAGGATTTCCCTCTAAAGCAAAAAGGATCCTAACATCTACACTGTCCAAATTCTCATATGAGAGATAAAAAGGCCAGCACGATAGATTAGCACCACCAAAGATAATAATCGAATTCTAGCCATCATATTGCAGCATCACCATATAAGGCAGATGAAATTAAGTAGCATATAAAATTTGAAAGAGCAAACGGAAGCCTTTCATTTTATACCCGAGAGGCAATAAGCACATAAAAAAGTATAACATATATATCCCATAGCTAAAAGGAAAGAATTAGCAAGAACAAAGAGAGAATAAGCTCCTCACCTGGCAATAAGACTATCATTGATTCTAAGTCCTTGTCTTGATATTAGTATATTGAGATGACAAAAAAAGGTCCGATACAATACAACTTTACGTCAAACGAATACACCAGCTGTCATTCATCAAAACGAACAAAATCGAATCATTGCAACAACTGAATGATACAATGATACTGAAGTTAAAAAACAAATCATATTTTAGAAATGCAGTCTGTATTCTGGGGAAAAAAAGCTGTGAATGGCTATGTTGATGGCATATATACATTATTATGAGATGCATTCATATAAATCAGATGTTCAGTGGCTTTCTATTTGCATAGTCATTATGATTTTATTTTTATCACAAGAAAAAGGCTTAGAAGAGGCAAACTTTCTCACCTTCGACAGCGGTAAAATACACCTCCCGAGCCACAGCTTGAGCAGCACCAATCTACCATTAAAACGAAATTGAAAAGAAAGACTTTTTAGTTCTTTGTCACTCAAATGCAAAATCATGGATGGAAAGCGGGTACGAAAGTCTAAGGAAGATCATGAACAATAACATGGAATAAAAGAAAAAAAGACCCCATAAATTAAGAACAGAGCACCTCAGCAGCTTTCAAGAAGATTCCAGCGATGCGTTTGAGAAGGGAGTGGCCTAAATCAAAGAGCAGGTAATGTTGATCAAAGTTCCTAAGGCTCATCAATAGTTGATTGAGCTTCCAAATTACTATTCCTACTCATTTTAAAATGAAAAAAAAAAGAACAAACTCCAAAGAAAAATACATTCAGAAAAAAAATTGTAAAAAAAAAAATACCTCTTCCTAAAAATGTAAGCAACTAAAAAAGAACTACCTTGAACAAAATTTTTCCCAAAAGAGAGAAAAAAAATCTGAACTTTGGGAGTTCCATTAACTTAGTCCAAGAATCCTCTGCATCAAAATTGAAAACTTTGACACCTTTGGAATACATTATTGATGAACCTCCTGAGTAACCAAGTTCAAAAGAATAAAACCATCATTCTCTTAATTCAATTCAAATTACAGAAACAAATCAGAATTGAAAAAACACATAATCATACACTTACGGAAGAATACAGAAAAATACAACTTAACAAATATACCGTGTTTTCTTTTGACCAATGCAACTGGAGCCTTCAATCACTACATAATTGAGAGATTAAACCAATTAGCATTTCCAAACACCAAACACGGCTGCTAAAAGGAATGTTCAAGTTTTCTCAAACTTCAACCCAATTCAAGATCTGAAACTCACCGGTTAGTTTGATGTCAGAACGGTTGGTATTCGACTCCGATTTCAAATCGATGTGTTCGCCTTTTGCTTCGGTAGCTTTTTGCCTCTACAGAAGTCAGCCGGCCCTAAATTGTTCGAATAAAGATCTATCCCAAATAAATTTTCAGGATGAATCAACTTGTTCAGATCAGAAGGAGTATGAATTTGAATTTTGAATTGATGTTGATAATTCATGGCTAGTTTTGCAAAGATATGCGGTGTAATGGCTGTTAATTGGAGATTTGTGTAGGCTTTTTTTTTCAGGAATAGAAACGGCGGCAGGGTTTTAGTTTGAAAGTAACAGGTTGAGGAGGAACTGATATTTTATTGGTTGGTCAGATTTTGAAGGAAGGAGAGAGGAGGAATGCCAGCGGTGGGTATTGGAAGAGGAGATTGCTCTTTTAGAAAAGAATCGTAGCTGAAAAACGAATTTGAATTTCACTTATCTCTTCGTTTTTAAAATTAAAATGTGATCGATGGAGTTAATATTTGGAGGAATCATTTCCGGATTTGAAGCAAAAGATGAGGCGGAATTTTGGAAGTTATCGCGTCCTGATGAACACATGAACGAAAACGATGGAGGTCTTTTGGGGTATTGTTTTTTTTTCCAAATGAACACATGACACGTGGCGTTCGACTTATGGAAAATATGTATTTTTTTTTTTTTGTTTTGGTGGGAAAATAAGCTTTGTGAAGTTGACACATGTCCTAAGTATCATTTGCTTTCAGGAAGTGTAAAGGGATGCCCAGGTTTGTAAAGAGTTGAAATTAAATACACGGTCTTTGAAAACTTTAACTATATTTTCTGTAATCAAAGTTTGCAATTTTCCTTCAACATATGCAATTAAATTTAATGTACTAGTTCATAAAAATTTTCAAGAACAAATTACCGTTGTTAACGTCATTGCATGGTGAGGGTATTGTAGGAAGAATGAATTAAAGTAGTCAGCTAAGGTTAGTTTAATTGATCTCCATGTAAATTGGAACAAGTTTATGAGAAATGGATGTTAAAACGAGTGAACTGAAGGACTGGTTAAAGATTTTCAGTCCCGGCAAAAAAAAAAAGAAAAGGCAACAAATTATGTTTTTCATCCTATCAAATATTATCAGAGTCACTGATTTCTGTAAGTGTAACCTTTTGCGAAATACAAGAAAGCTACAAACGACAATGCACTAAGTCCAACAAGCAACCAATAGAAGTAATCCACGTGCCCTTTCATCGGATTATCCGAAATCCAAGGATTACCATGTTCATCCAATCCACCAGTGATCTTCTGAATCACAGAGATAAGAAGGCTGCTAAGCAATTCTCCTAACCCTATTGCGGTAAAACTTATTGCAAGCCCAGTGCTTCTCAACTCATTAGGCATTTGGTCATAGAAAAATTGTTGTAAACCAGTTACGGTGAATGTGCAAGAAACTCCAAGTAACAAATATTGAGGTAACAACCAAGCCACACTCATTGGCACTGTCGCATCAGGCAAATCAACTAAATCAAACTCTTCGATAACTTCAAGACGCCTTTTTTCAACTAGAGCCGCTGCAAGAACACACAAAAATGAAAAGAATATTCCAGTTCCGATCCTTTGCAACATTGTTATGCCGGAAGTTTTTCCGGTTATGGCTCTTGCTGTAGGAACTAATATGCGATCGTAGATGCAGAGAGACACGATTATTGTAATGCTAGTGAAAGATTGAAGTGATGCAGCTGGTATTTGGATAGTGGAAGTGATGAATCTTTCCATGGTAAGCCCTTGCTTCGTGAAAAGAGTAGATGCTTGAGAAAATACAATTCCATATGCCAAACAGGAACACCATATTGGAACCAGCCTCAGTATTGCCTTAGCTTCTTCAACTTCATTTATGCTACAAACATGACCTTCTTCCATTGTGCCATCAGATGATAACAATGCTTTGTTTAAAAACCTACACATTTAGTGGTAGCTAGGTTAATTAATCTGTTCGATAATCTGAAGTTTGAAGTATGAAAACTGGAATTTGAAATTAGAAAAAGAAAAAAATTTTAAACTTATGAACTATCTCTGTCGCAAAATAATAATCTGCATTGAGTTTTGAGATTAGTACTAAAACCAATACGAATTTCAAAAATCAATATGGATTATTTTTCTGGGACAAGTCTAGTATATTAAACAAGATTACGCTTCCTCAAGCAATGCAACTACGTGAGGATTCTACTCACCTGAACTCTTGAGAACCCGAATTGGGAAAACCCTGACCTTGATTCTCGGCATCCATATCTTCCGCACAAGAAATGGTTCTCCAATTCTTAGCTGCTTTGATAAACACCCGACCAATTCTCGAAAAGGGTTCACTTTTGCCTTGTCCTTGATCATCATTATTAGTCGTGTGAAAGCGGTATGTGAAAGTTCCAAGAAGAAACCAAACTAGTGCAAACACCACGGCCAAACAAGGGATTCCGAATCCAAGACCCCAACTGAGGTTATCTTGAATGTAAGTCAAGGTAAAATACGTAATGGTGATGGCCAAACAATCACTAGCATTACACCAATTGAAGAACGAGCTTTTGGATTTACATTCTTCTGTATCTGATGCATCAAATTGATCCGCTCCAAACGCATGAATACAAGGCTTGTGCATTCCTTGTGCTATTGCTATCAGATATAACGAAAAGAAAAATAAGATAGCTTGAAGCTGAGGAGCTGGATGACATAGAATGCTACTGCTTGATGTAGTTTGACAGTTTGAGGACATCAAGGAAGGGAAGAAGGCTGAAAGTGCTAAGAGCCCAAGTCCCTGTAATGATTCACCATGCAATTTGCAAGGAGAAGTTTAGTTAATGTAAATTATTTTTCTGAGACAAACATAATAGTCATCTGACTTATCAAACTAAAATAATATATCAAAGTGAATTACTAAACTCGATAAAAGGAGGAACTAATCTTGGAATAACATTAAGATTAATTGTTTTACACCTTTGCTTTTTATTCTTTGAATATTGCCATTTTTTTTTCTCACTTTAGATATTTTACTTATGTTTTTTCATTTTAGAAAAAAAAAAACAATGGAAGAAAATACTGGTAACTGTAAAAATTCATGCCTTTACAAAAGGAATATAAAATTTGAAGATTTATTCCGTCCAAATATGTTAATAATCTGTGTTGTGGGTTTTTCTAGGGGTTCAAACGATGAGCACTGGCACATATTTATGTTCTGAAAACTCGAAGGCGAAACGGCATCTAGCTGGGTCATTAAATTGACTAGTTTGACCGATTCTTGAAACAGTTAAAATCAGTTGTAAAAATATCTAAAATTTTGTTTTTTACAATCATTATCCCTTTTACCCTATTAAAGCAGAATACAGAATGTTGATGTGGCAACTTCTTATTAAAACTTTTTGGCTCCAAATGCACCATATTGCATTGACCATTCTGCCACGTGTCATCCCCTTTTTAAAAGAAAAAAAAAATCTTATCCCGATAAATAAAGATACTTTACAAAAATAACTATACAATTTTAACTCCTAACATTTATCATTTATCAATCAAATTAAAATAACATTTAAATTTGTCTATAAACTTATCCCTTTTATTACTCCATATTCTTTTGTATGATTTTTACATCGTTGTACTTTTTAATATTTTTTTACTTTGGCAAATGATTTTTTATTTTTATTTTTATTTTTGACTAAAAAAAGGAAAAAAAAACCAAATGTGTAGCTATTTTATTTTTTCCAAATCAATAATTTATTTATCTATTAACACAAAATTAAAGTAGAGGGGCGCCCGGGCATCTGCCTGGGCCAAGTATATATTAAAGAAAAGAAAGATAATCGACACTTGTCGCTAATTGAGACCATCAAGCATCAACTTTAACTTATTATCATTTTAGCCCTTAAAGTTCTATTTATGTGTTACTTTGTCTTTAATTTTATCGATTTTATATTTTCAATGACGATTAATTGTGTCTAATCCCCAAAGTCCCCTTGCCTATAAATAAGCCATAGGCACCTAGACATAATTTACGTATTTTTTAATATATTTTTTAATCCAAACATAATATTAGTTAGTGGTGACAATTTTTATTGTACAATTTTTCAAAATTTTTATTGTAATATTTTTTGCCAGATCTTACAAATATACATCTCATAAATAATATCAATAACTCTCATTTTGATCTAAAATTGATTAATCAAAAAAAAAAATTTACCGTTTTAAGAAATATTAATAACTACATTATCTAATTAATTATTTTGGAAGATGAATTTTCAACATTGACAAACCCGCGCAAAGCGCGGGACACATACTAATTGATTTTAATAGAAATCGACTGAGAAGGCCTTTTGATCCCTATTAGACCGGTCTGGCCATCCAGTCCGGTCCGATTTTAAAAACATAGGCATATAGTAATACAATATGTGTTAAATTGCACATCAAGACATAATACTCTATCCAGTTACCGAAGAGGAATTAATAATAACCACGAGAAAAGGACCTGTAAATAAAACAAAATAAAAAATGGAAAATAAATTAATCGCACCCAATTTTCTCAATCAAGCAAGCACACTAACTACAACAAAAATTAAATAAATAAAAGCAAAGAAAGCATGATAACTAACCAGGATATAGAGCACAGAAGCAACAATAATGGTGCGGTAACGGCCGAGATAAGAGTCGGCGACGAAAGCACCAAATAACGGCATAAGCATGGCAATTCCCGACCAAGCATTGACGTTCTCCGCCGCCGTGGCGGTGGAGTGACCAAGTGGGCCCGTCAAATAACTGATCAAATTTGCACTCACTCCATAATACGCAAAGTACACCGCCATCTCCGCCACTTGAATAAAAAATATTGATGATACTAATAATTATAAGCAGACCATAGACATAATAAAAAAAATAACAAAGAGAAAAGGTATAATTTTATTTCTTCTTTGGGTGCGTAATTTATGATGTCAATCATGTGAGGTGAGATTGCTTCATGTACCTATAATGAAAGAAGCAGATAACCATCCGCCGGAATTTGATCGCTTGGCCGGATGGCCTAGGTAATTTAAACTATCTTTGACGATATCGTCTTTTTCTGACAGCAATGGTGTCTCAACGGCCGGAAAACTGTTCTCCAAGGTACTCATTATTGACATAGTACTACAGGTACGAGCGTGAAATTATAAACTAAGTTGTTGTAAATTTGACTAAAATTTTGCTTGTGTTTTGTATTCCGGCGAGATGGAAAGGAAAAAGTAATTAAAGGAAATAGAGATCACTTCAAGAAAGAAATAATAAATGGAAAAATAGGTTTTGAAAGGGATAGAAGTTTTTGAAAAATGAATGACTTTTTTGATATGGGATTTTTTTCCTTTTCAAGTTGTACTTCTATGAATGTTTTAGAAGTGATGTATATATATACTATAAGGATTGTTTGTCTCTATAGATGTACTGCTTCTCTTATGAATTTCAAAACTCAACGTGATTTTTTTAGGATAGAAATACCATTTATGTTTTTCGCTTTAGCTAGGCTAATGGAAATTGAATTAAACAAAAACAACCACGCACACCATAATACACTGTATGCTTTTTTGGATAACGCAAGAAACCCACGGGAACTGGATTTATCGACCCATACTCACTCTAATTCCGTAAAAATCTATTGCATATCTGTTAGAATATGCATTTACAATAAAACGATACTGACACCTCACCATTAAAGAAATATATAACGAAAATTAGCTACCTATGACATCATATTCCAGTTGGAGCTCGAGCCACTGCAATTAGTATTTTGTATCTCTATTGCTCCATCACCTAAATCAAAAATTTATAATTAAATTTTATGATTAGGAGTTATGCAATTTTTATAATCGCATGATTGTGATAAAATTAATAACTTCATGCAATATTTCTTTTGCTTCATTACGTATACACATTAGACAGTTCAGCGGATACGAGTTAAATGCTACAATTTTCCAAACCACATATATATATATATATATATATATATATATATATATATACACACACACATATATATGATTTCTTTCATTTATTCCCTATATATATATATATATATATATCGGGAATAAATGAAACAAATGTCTTATTCGATAACATATAGGAGACGCTGGTATGAGATATTAGTAATGTCACGTTCTAATAACAGTTTCAATGTTAGGCGGTGGTTCGTCCAACCATAGTGAACCGGAACTATTGCAGATCTGCCTTAAAATTCATTTCCTGGTATACATGTTTTATCTGCACGGTCTGATGTTGTAGATATTAACTAAGCAAATACATAGAATTGTACATATAAAAATGAATAGTTTGTATATCCGAAAATCTAAATTTTACTGAGATGTGATGAAGTGATAAATAAATTAAAGCGACGTTTCGTTTGTCATTTAAATTCATATATTGAAAGCAAAAATCGAGTTTTTTCATCATGAAAAAATGTCCTTTTACTTCAGGAGCAAAGAAAAGAAGTCAAGCAGATATTCTTGCCTAAATAGCAAAAAAATTTAACTAACTTAAGCATGTCATTGCATTGAAATACACGGTTAGTGCCTGAAAATATTGACAGATAACACAGTATCATAGTGCATGATATTTCATTATGTAGTTAATTAAAAACGAAAAGTTCAAATAATGACACGTCGTTTTTTTTTTTCTGGCCTTTTGGTGTGTAATACCTAGACATTAAAATTAAACAATGTCGGTCATGACTCATTCATGTATAATTTACCTCCGCGTGAACTCTCCGTTTGTAGCTATATATTAAAACCAAATTAATTCGCAAACACGATATAACAAGTGGGGAGAATGTTAAAGTGAAAAGTTATGCGTAGAAGATAAGATGGGAGATGATCCAAATGGATTGCGAGATGAGGCAATCATGCGTATACAACAGTGATTAATATAGATATTGGGAGATCAGTTTTGACTTTTGAGATTCACCCGGTTCGAATCTGGATCAAGTGAAACAATGATTTCAAATACTTTATACATAATATAACAAAAAAAAAAAAAAAAAAAGTCGCCGTGAAGAAGCGTATAAAGTAGCTAACCGTCAACAAGAGAACTAGTTCCGATCCTTAAAAGTTGTAGTACTCAACTAACGGCATCCTATTCAAAAGTGACCCAAAACCCAGAAACAGACTGGAAAAAAGAGGAAAAGGCCAACTCAAAATCAGTAGGGCATATGATAAAAATTGTGCCCTAACCCCGCGTCCAAGTTCAGAACAAAAGTAGAGCGGATCTAGTTGTTTGTTAAAAGGTTCATATCATCACTGTTCCTTATTTCCTTGTATCGACGTACTACACTTATTTGATCTTTTCATTCAAGGACTAATTGAAAAAAATACCGACGGAGTATAATTGGCATAGTAATGCTAGCACTTAAAGTGGTGAGGCATTTTTTCCAGGAGCATAATAGGTCTTGAAGTTTCATGTTATTTATGGGTATTTGTATAATATTTTGGACTAAATTGTGCACTTATGTTGTGTATTTTGATGTTTTTGGTTCTTATGAGTAATTGGAGCTGAGATGGAGAAAAATATTCCATAAACACACATTTTTGGAGCATTTTGACAAGAAAGCACAAAAAGCGAGCAATGACATCACATTCTCGTGTGGGCACACGAATCTCAGTCCAAAATTGAACTTTAGAGAAGAAATTCCAGCATTGATGCTGCAATCCTGTTTGGCCAAACCGAAATAGGAACTAAAATGAAAAATTAAAAAAGTTTTGAAGTTAAAATATAATTTTACCAAACTTAAGGGACCAATTTGCAAATCTCGGAAAAGTTAATTTGCTGCTGCGGCTGACCTACTTGTTCTCATATAAATTGATTTTATTCTTTTCTTTTGGAGGGGAGCTGAACGTGAGAAGAAGAAGAGGAGGCTAAAATGATCCTAAGCCGCCTATCTAGTTCTTTTGGGCGTTATTCTTCCTTATTTTCCATAGTTTTGTTTCAGTAAGGCTTTATTATGTGTAATTAAATTATTTTTCCTGTTGAAAGATATTGAAACCTTGGTTCTTAAAAATAGTTGTGAGATCTAAATGTTTTTCATTTCTCAATTCTTTGTAAGTATTTGCTTGTTCTTTTGAATGATTGATATAAAGATTTCGGATTCATGAATAGCTGGTAGCATTCATTATTTCATGATAGTTAACAACCAATAAGGCAGCAAGGTTTGTTGTTTTAAAAGGGACTGATATAATTAAATTACTTGGTAAGTAATTTTGTTATGTTATAAGAACAAGTAATCTGGGTTTTTATTAAACAAGGTTTGTTTCATAAGAATCAGAATTGGGTCTTTGTACTTAATGCAGTCGTTTTTTTAATCTTAGGAGGTTCCAGGATTGAATTTCGACTAGTGTGTTTAATGAAGGTTTTCTTAATCACTAAACTTAGTTCAAGATTAA